CGTTGCTCTTTTGAAATGAACTCAGTGATGTTGGAACAGACGTAAAGAGCACGCTGCTGCACCATCATTAGGGGAGCAAGTGCAGGGGTTGTATTGTTAGAAGCAGGAAAGGATGACATTTGTCCAGTCACACAGCTTTACCTGGCTCCAAGCAGGAGCATGGATTTGTTGAAGTCTGTGGTGTGGTTTGTGGTCATGGAACAGAGAAGCTAACTGACCCACAGTGAATCAAACCCCAAATCTTATCATTTTAAATTCCATGTTCCCATTTACTGAGCTAACCAGCCACAACAACAGTAAACTAAAAACCAACATAAAGTATATCAAGTATTTGAGAACTGCTTTTTCATAAACCAATGGATTGGTAAATCTGGAAGGCATCTTGGAGATCATTTAGATCAGGCTTTGGCAAACTACATCCCAAGGGCCAAATACAGCCCACTGCCTGTTTTTGTAATTAGAGTTGTATTGTAATATAGCCAGGTCCGTCGGTTTACATATTGTCCGTGGCTGCTTTTGCACTACAACAGCAGAGCTGAATAGTTGTGACAGACTATACTGACCACAAAGCCTGAAATATTTATTATCTAGCCCTTTATAGAAAAAAATTGGCAACCTCTTATTTAAACCAAACTTTTCATTTTAGAGATGTGGAGATTGGGAATCAAGTAGGTAACTTGAGAAAACAGCTGGCAGAATTCCCCAAATCCCCAACATCAGGATCCAGAGCTATCATCTCTTAAGATTTTGGTAAGATAGAGAGCATTTTTACATCTTCTGGAAGCCCTACTCTACCTACTCTTAGGCAGGGCATCACTCCCTTCTCCACTGCCTTTCAGGCTTACGCAATGAAGACAATGAGAACGCCCTCCTCTACTCATACAACACCTCACACGTTCCTTAATCATTGCATTTATCGTGCGGAATTGTAATCATTTGCTCTTCCCACTAAATTCTGAGTTCGTCGGAGGCAGGGACCATGCCATATTTGTCTTTGTAGCCCAGGTTACAGAATAGATATCTAATAACTATGTGCTCAGTGGCTGGCATTTGCCACTTCATCTTCTGTGGCTATTTTAAGGTAAACTTCAACTATTGTGAAGATAAAATGCAAACATTGTGATTTATAATTTTCTATTCCTGACCAACACCCCCCACTGAGATCCATCAATAGGAGATGTCCAGGGCCAAATACTATGGATAGAAGGCAAAAGTCTCAAATATTTTCATTGTATTTGCTAAGAAATGGCCTCAGAGCCAGTCTTGACCTATATTCCTGGCAAACGGACAAGAGGCTGATGTAGATCAAGGGCAATGAGGATGCAAAAGAGATGAAAGATGTTTAGAATCAATGGGACATTATGGTTGATTGACTGTGCACAGATGTTGACTGTCAGAGACTCTCTAGATTCTGTCAAATTTCAGAATGCAGGAGGAAGAGCACAGTGGACGAGGGAGGTGTGAGTGGGAAGAGGTATAGGGTGTGGGTGGAGGTAGATACGGTACAATCAAGTGGGGAGATTCAGTGGACAGTGGATTATATCAATCTGGAACTTTCATGCTAAGTCTAGGTTTAGATGAAATCATTCAAAGAGTAGATAGAGATTAAGAGAGGAGATTAGGAGCAGAAACCCAGAGATCACCAAAGTAAGGACTGAACACAGTAAGAGGAACTCCCACTGAGAAGGAACCCCTGGAGACGTAGGAGGAAGACAAAAGGTGGTGTCCTAGAAGCCTAGGTGGAGAGGAGAAATGCCAAGTAAAACTATTTCGAGGGGAAAAAAAATATATGATGCTTTGGATTTAGTGATTTGGAGGTGTCTGATAACCTTTTGTCTATCCGATCAATCCTTTCACACACTGGCAACTGGAAATATTTTGGAAGGAAAGGAAAACTTTTCTTATATGTCAGTCCCTAAAAGTATAAAGCTGGTAGGAAAGATGATGTGCTTTTACACAAATTTGTTCAACAACTACCTTTTCCGGAATATGTGTATCAAATGAGGATTTATACTTCCATTATCTCAGGCTTTTAATAAGTTCTAATAAAAACCCATTTGTGCTGTTCAGATTATACTCTCCCAATGGGTGATTTGTCATCATCTGATATTTTATGCTGATTTGAGTACTTTTATATGATGGGCCTAAAATAAAACAAAACCTTCTCAATACATAAAATCATGTCCAAATGGGAGTTGTCTTGAGCTAGAATATCTAAAATCTTTTTTAAAAGGTTAAAAAGCAATGCTTATTTAGTGTATGGTAACAGTCAATAAGTATTTATTGAATGAATGTGTAAATAAATAAATGGTATATTCTCCTATAATTTTTCAACTATATATTGTGGTGATTTTAAAACAAGTCCACAAATCCTTTGACACTCCTCTCACTAAAAGCGGGGTCTAATTCCCATCCCCCTGAATAGGGACCAATTTTACTGACTGGCTTTTAACAGATAGAATGCAGTGGACCTGACCCTGAGAGTCTTCCAAGACTAGGTTAGAATAGACAGCCCTCTTCCGCCTGGCTGGCTCGTTCTCTTGGACCCTGTGACTTTGGGCCCTTGAGCTGACAGACGTGTACGAAGTCTAGCTACCCTGAAGCCACCATGCTGGAAAGAGCACATAGGCATGGAGAGAGTTGTCTGAGGAGCCTCAGCTGTTCGCAACCCCAGGTGACTGAGTTTTCCCAGGATCACCTGCCACACCTCTGAGTGACTGAGCCGTCCAGTTATTCCATTCCTCAGCCTTCGAGCCACCCTCTGCAGCATGCATGGCAGGGATGAGTTCTCCCCGCTAAGCTCTGTCCACATTGTAGACTTGTAAGCAGGATAAATATTGTTTAAGTCTCTAGGTTTGAGGGTAGCAACCACAGTAATGGGAACATTCCCTAATTAGAACATTGGCTATATGTTGCCATGAGATTCTTATTGCTTGATCGCCATGGAGAACATTATGATCCTTTAACACATTCCCATTCTGGCTAATTCTCTCTGTGGCGAGGGGGCATTCTTGCAGTCACCTACTACTCCAGTAGCCACTGGGTAGAACAGCCTTCACTTCCTTTACCTTTCCTAAATCTAAGGGAAAATATCAGAAATGTTGCCTTCTAACACTGAAACACGTAAAATCACCTCTTTCAAAGCAAACTGCCTTAAGATGGGGTTTGTGTACATGATATGATAAGTGATAGGTTTTTCCTTGTCTCTGCCCTAAAAACAAGGACGTACTGGAATATGTTTCAGTATAATCGGAGAGTATCCTCAGGACAGGAACAAAGTAACTGTAAAGAAAACCACAGCCTCATTAACCTGTGTGAGGCAGTGATGTGGTAAGTGAAAAATGGTGGGTGGTGTAGAGTTTTTTAAAGGTGATCGATACCACCATTTCAGTGTTTTCTAGGGAAGAAGGTTTTATCATTATATATTTTCTAGGCCACAATATGCCTAAACTGGAGAAAGAACAATCTATTGTAATTCTGTCTCATTAGCGTGCTTCCCCAATTGGAAAATTCTTGTACAGATGGATGATATATTTGACAAATAGAGCACCCAATATAAATGAATACATGGTATTGTATTTTTCTAAATTGATCCCCTATGAATTTGGTTAGTATGCATTTGTTCCCCTGAACTTGATCACTTCAGAGAAAGCTTTTAATATCAATTTCCTAGACCACTGAAGACCACTGGCATCTCCACCAATGTAATGATGCCTCATAGGACTCTATAGGAAGCTGCTAGCTAGTTTCTTTCTTTCTTTGATGTAAGTTTAGCTATAGCAGGAAATGGTGTGTGATTAGAAGAGGCTCCCAAACATAAGTCCTCATCTGGATGACTGCCAGATCAAATAGTACTTTCTAGACCCAGTGTCAGGGAGTCTGGTTTCTTCTGCAGCAGGACCCATCTTCTGGCTTTAGCTTCATGGTTATAACTTCTGAGACCTCAGGCCTCTAATTCTATTCAAATGTAAACATACCACTCTGGTGAGTTTAGATTTACATGCCTAGTTTGAATGGCCTCATCTGCAAGTCATTTGGAAAACTAAATATAACAGTCATTTACTATATAAGTAGCTTTCAATTCAAAAGAGGGCGATGTAATTAATTAAACTGCATTCTGATTATAGTACTACACATTCTTTAATCATTTTATTAATCGCTTCAGAGAAATCAAGCAATTTTAAAATGCAATATTAAAATTATATAGAATTTTACCTTAGAAGAGGGGGAATCATTACATCTGTCAACTTCTTCCATTAAATCCTTTTCTTTCTTCTCCCTTTTAGCCTCTAATCCTTCCCTCTTTCACTTTGTCACCTCCCACTAGACAGGTAACTTGGATATACAGATGATGTCCTTTTATTTGTCTAAGATTAATCCAGCTGTTAATAAATTTGATTTTTTTATGAAAATACAACAGTTTTAAGTCATCCTACGAGGATATACAATTTAAATTTGTTATCAGGGTGACACCGCTTATGAGCTGAAATGGCCTTCTTACCTCCTATCATGAACCTCCCTATGAACTGAGTCACATGCTTACACTTAAAGATAAAACACCCTCCTAGGGGAAAACAAGAATGGAAAAATAATTTTTTTTTTTAACCCTGGGAAGTTCAAAAAGATAAGCCATTTCCCTGAGACATCTCCATAAAGAAGAGTTTCACTATTTGATTTTCTGTTAGATATTTAAAGGTATTCGGAAAGCCCCCATCTTCAGGGTTAACATGTAAGTGCAGTAAGCTCTGTCACAGACGATCCCTTTAAAACGCAGCCCAACAGTCTTCCATTAACATTTAATTTTTCTGATTTTCCACCTATCAAATCTCCTGCTTGATCAGTGCTGCTTAGCTGCCACTGAGGCAGCTAAGAGGCAGGGTCATTAGCTGCCTCTCCATTCTACCTTTGAACTATTCTTTCGATTCAGTTCCGCACAAATTATTTCAAAGTGACTGTCAGGGAGAGCTTTGTGAGTTCGTCTTTAAAGTCAGTGCAGGCACCTCTCGGCTAGGCTTCCACGAGGCTGGCGGGCCTGGGAGAGCCGAGGCCCCAGCTCCTCCAGCAGCCGCAGCAAAGCGCTGCCCGCGGCGCTCCATCAGCACCACGCTCGCTGGAGGCTGCAGCCGGGTGGGTGCCTGCAGCGCCCACCCCGCGCTCAGCGGAGCATCCAGCCCGAAGCTGCCCTTGCCTGGCGGTGGCGGCTGAGAGTTCTCTGTCCGGTTGTTCAAGGTCCGGGTCAGGACGGCGGCCACGGAGACGGCTGCCCTGTAGATACACGTTTTTGTGACCTCAGAACGATGCGTGTCTCTCTAATGGAACAGGTATCTAGCAAAGTCGGTTGTAAAACAAAACTCTATAAATAAATCTCCATATCCCTGTCCAATAATTTCCTTTATAAAAATCAAGGACACAGCATCAAGGAGAAAAAGAAAAAAGCAAAACACAATCCTCACAGCTTTACATGTTTAAACCTCACTTTGTTCCCAACATGACTTAAAGTGATTTGTAAGGCTATGTAAAACTGTAACAAGAGAGTGTACATTTACAAGTGGAAAAGGATAAAAAACAAGGGTGGAGACATAAAATAGAGCCAGGAACTAGGCTTTAAAAAATGTCTGAAATAATGGCCTCTGCTCTGGGCGGGTCACAGTTTGGCTCTAAATTATCTAGTAGCCCTTTGTCAGCTAATGGCATCACCCCAACAATTCAATTTGCTTATGAGCATTTTGGGGGAGGTGGGGAGAGAGGTCAGGGTGAGGGGTGAAAATACAGGCGAGTCTGGCCAACTCCCTTCTCATCTGGCTCCATGTAGGAGTAGATTTTAACATATCAGGAACAGAAAACATCCTAGACCGTGTGTCCTTAAAGCAATCCTCCTCGACTATTGTTCTTCTGAGGCAAGGCGCTTGTAAATACTGGAAGGCACTGAATTCAGAGCAGAGGTAGGCTTGGCCTGCCAAAAACAACCTTCAAGTTGTGTAAAGCTGCTGTGTCTCTCCTCTCCTCCAGTCAGACAGCTCAAGAGATTGATCTGTTCTTGCTGTCTTCATTTCTTCACTTCCCCCTCACTCCTAAAACCATTCTAATCCGGATTCTACCCCCACCACGTCACTGAATCTGATCTTGCAAAGGTCTCCAAAGTGTTCTTCAGTTCATCTTTTATTTGGGTCTCAGGAGCATTTGGAAGTTGACGTCTCTCTCCTTCTTAAAAATATTCTTTGTACTTAGTTTTCCTAATGTTGCAGGAAGGGGAATCCCTTTCAGGGTCCAAGAGTGGGCCCTTGTCTAATACTGGGAAATGAATTGCCTGAGGAAACACACATGCTGACAAAGCAAGAGACTTTATTGGCAAGGGGCACCTGGGCAGAGAGCAGCAGCGTAAGGGAACCCAGGAGAACTGCTCTGCCACCTGGCTCACAGTCTCAAGTTTTATGGTAATGGGGTTAGTTTCCCAGTTGTCTCTGGCCAATCATCTTGCTTGGCCCATAATTGGTCTGACTCAGGGTCTTTCCTGGTGGCATGCGCATCTCTCAGACAAGATGGGTTCCAGCGAGAAGGATTCTGGGTGGTTGGTAGGATATATTATTGGCTGACGTCTCCTCCCTCCTTTTGGCCCCTCCCAGATTCTCCCAGTTAGTTTTTCGTGACAGCACCACATTCCTTATCAGGACCTCCTGTTGTGAGACAACTCATGCAAGTGGTTATCATCATGCCTGGCCAAGGCGGACCGTTTCCATCAACAGTTCCCTAACACTAACACCACACTTCGTGGTTATTTCCCTCTTCTCTGGTCATTCCTTCTACCTCTCCTCCATTTGCTTCTCTTTTCCACCTGACCCTTCAATGTTGGTGTTCCTTGGGTTTCTGTTCTAGTGCTGAAAAGAACTCCAGATCTGAGAGAGTTCACGAAAGTATTGCTGTCATACAGACCAGCGAAAATAATACTTCTCATCTTTTGTATCCCATAGTGTAGAGTTTCATGAAGTTCTTGTTAACAGAATAGCAGTGGTAGACGTGGTATGTTGCCTTGCTCAACCTCTGTTCCAAATGCCTTCTGGTGCCTTTCCTTTACTGCAGACTCTGGAGAGCTAGGAGCTACGTTTCTCAGACTCCCTTGCAGCTAGAGTTTCAAATGTGATTTTGGTTTCATCAGTCAGAAGTCCTCGTGTGAAATTTGAATTTGGAACTGAACTGGGTGGGGAGAGAAGCAGCGGGATCTGAGTCAACCGTTTAGCAGGTGAGGATCTAGCAAACATTACGAGGCTCTGGAGCCAACAATTCTGGTAGGGGCTTAATGACTCCTGGACTGCAGTTGGGGTAGTGGGTTCATAAATGCAGTGATTTTGGTGGCAGCCTCCTGACTTCTAGCAGCTCCCTTAATGGGCCTATCAGGAAAAAAAAAATTGTCCAAGGTTTGGAAATGGAGATTAGGGGCTGTCTTTCAGGGAAGTGCTGGGTATTGTCTAGTGGAGCTTTATAGAATTTTCAGATGCTACACAAATGTGCACTTGATTGATTTTGTTGACCAGGTTATTTTACAACTCTGTAAGGTAGAAAGTTACTTGTAACAAACTACAGAAATGCAAACACTTCTTGTCCATAGAAAAGCAAATTAGTTTTTCTCTGATAGATATACAATCAGCTTTTGCCCTGAAAAAAAGATAATCCCAAACATTACTTTTTCATTGCCCTAGGAGTACACTAATATAGGAGCCACTAGCCACATGTGGCCGTTGAGCACTTTAATGTGGCATGCTTGAACTGAGATGTGTTGTAAGTGTAAGATACACACAGATTTCAAAGACTCAATATAAAAGTGTGTAAAATAGCATGTTCATTTTATTTATTGTTTATATAGATTATATCTTAATATTTTGGATATATTGGACTAAATATTTGTTAAAATTAATTTACGTATTTTTTACTTTTAATGTGGGTCCTAGAAAATGTTTAATTATACATGAGGCTCACATTACAAGGCTGTTGGACAGTGCTGCCTTATAGAATTTTAACCAATTTTGCATCTATTAGCAAGTTGAGTTCAGCATTCCTGATTGTATGCATGAATATATACGTGTAATATATATACGTGTAATATAAATTCTCCTTTGAACCAGACGTAACATCTTCTATGTTCCCTCATTAATTAATGTGTTGAATAGAAATCTTTGACACATATCATATTGTATTTGCATGAGAATCACAGTTTTAACATTTTATACTTTAGCAGCCAATTCTACAGAGTTGCTCCAACAGGCCCATCCAAATCTGTTCTTCCAGCCCTTCCAGTGATTTTGTAAGGACCTACTTCGCTATATTAAATTCCATTGTAAAATAGCTAAGGTGGTTTTCATTACCTGCTACTGTACCCTGTCTGATACAATAGCTAAAAATTATTGAGTGCTTACTATTCTCTAGATATTGTGTAAAATGCTTTACACAGATTCTTTTGTTTAATCTTCATAACAACTCTCTGGGGTAGGCTATATACCCTCCCTTTTTTTTTTTACAGATGAGGCACTGAGAGTTTAAGAAAGTTGCCCAAGATGACCAGTTAAGAAGTGGTAACTGGATTCACATCCAAGCAGAATGACCCAAAAGTCCATTCCATTACCACTGTGCTGCCAGCATTTATTTTCTTTCTACAAAATGAAACAGAAGAGCATATCTGTCACTTTGTTGACCTGGAAACTGTGGTGTGGCAGAGAAGCTAGAGGTTTCAATCATGCCTTCACTTCTTCTGCCTTCTCTGCATCCAGGCCCTTGATTCAGATTGGCTGGTTCTCAGAATCTCAGACATAGCTCATGCCTGGGTAGTTCTTCCAGACTCTCCCCCAGATGAGGAGGTTGAGTGACATGCTATTTCCCACTGCAGCTGAGAAGCAGCTCCACCAAGAACAAGAGGTTTTACTAGTGTAATTGCATTCAAGTGTGTGACTTGGAGGCTCACAGAGCTTGCTAAGCAGGCTGTCCATCATCTTTGGCAAAGGTAGAGAACAATTACGCTATAATAACTGCTTTTAAGGGCCTGCCGGGTGTCAGACATCGCATTAGGCAATTTATATACCTTCTCTTTAATCCTTTCAATAACTCAGTGAAGTGAGTATTATCCTATTTTAAAGATGAGGAATCTGGTCTCAGCTTAATTATGGATATCCTAGGATTCCCTTTATAATCACTGAACTCTTCACTAATCGTGGGCTACATATCTAACAGAAACTTTAGACATTATATCAAAATACGTTCAGGGGCTTCCCTGGTGGTGCAGTGGTTGAGAGTCCACCTGCCAATGCAGGGGACACGGGTTCGTGCCCCGGTCTGGGAAGATCCCACATGCCGCGGAGTGGCTGGGCCCATGAGCCATGGCTGCTGAGCCTGTGCGTCCGGAGCCTGTGCTCTGCAACGGGAGAGGCCACAACAGTGAGAGGCCCGCGTACCGCAAAAAAAAGAAAAGTTCAAATGCTTGTATTGATAATGAAGAAGTATATGATATTATTTGTCCACATGTAACTAAATAAGGAAACTTGCTAAAGAAAGAATAGGAAAAATATTATATGCTATTCTTTCATTATTAATGCTAATTTGAAAGCTTGAAATGAGCAGACAACTCAATATTTTCCAACATGCATCACGTTAGCTTTTAATTCATTAGCTGTCTTTTCCTACTGTTTGCTTTCTTGCTGTGGTCTACATTTTATACTGGTGCTACAGAGCTATGTGAAAGGATTATGCTGCCCCACTTTAGTCCCAGGAAATAGAACTGCTATGAATTATTAATAGTATTGGCTTTCTAATGCTTTAATTTCACCTCTTTGTTTCAGAGAAGGATATTAGTTAAATGGGATTTTTTTTTTTTTTTTTTTTACCACTCCAGGAGCTTACTACCTTTTGTAGGAAATGCTGACTTGAGTTATAGAAAATATGGTCTTATGTTGATTTCCACCTCTACCTGTGATGGATCCTCCAACCATTCCACTCCTCTGTATCCTTGCTTAGTGATAGGTTAATAGGGACGTTTTCAAACTGTGCTCTTCAGAGCCCTTGGGATTCCCCAGTGGTTCTCGAGGTGCAGCTGGCAGAGAGAAAGGCCTGGGGGGAAGGTTCTGCACCCCCAGGCCCCAACCATTCCCTTGTTCAGAGAAGCACTTCACTCCTGCTATAAGCAGTAAGCTTTTGTGCAAGATTATGTTGGAAGAAAGGATTCTTTTCTTTAAAAACGAGCTTAAAAATCCTGAATTAATACAGCAAGTACAATAAATAGGTGTCTGTACATCTTTGGGATACTAAGAAATGTCTAAGGATTTTTATTGGATAATCACAACATGTATGAGCACATACAACCAATTGTGCGCTGAATTTGACCAAGGTGGCGGCAAATCAGGTGACTGGGTTTGCAGGATGGACTTGGCCCTCTTGTGGTGTTGAGATAGTCACCCTGAAGTGAGTGGAGTCGGTTACTATGTTTATTTATGTAGTGAGTAAACTCACAATCACAAGAAATGCAGTAAAATCTGGGGGCTGGCAAAAATATTGATACATGGACAGATTCCCATGAACCACAGGCTTATATTCAGCTTATTAGGTCGATCCATAGGCTTCTAACTTTCTTTAAGAGACTGAATATTGTCATTATTTGAGTTATTTCATAGGGGACTTCCATCAGCAAAATATTTACTCATTTTCTGTAATAAGAGCAACTATTTCTTTACCTTTCAAAGAGTGGGGGGAAAAAGCAGGAGGGTTTTGTTTTGTGTGAGGTAAAAATCGAAGAGTTAACAGGTCATGGTCAGGGTTCCTTTCTGTGTGTGGACTGTGTAGTCCCTATACAGTCTATGCCCCTTCCTCTCATGCACGGAAGCTACAGACCTGAGGAGGGCAGGCAGGTGAACAAAGACTCCATTCATTCAGTAAATATGTATTGAGTGCCAATTATCACTGGGCATCATGCTAGATGTTGGGGATACAATAGTGTGTAAGACTCTGACCCTGCCTTCTTAGAATTTGCATTCTAATGTGGAGGAGGCACGTAGTGAATACATAATCATATAAACATAGCAATTATAGAATGTGGCAATTCCCATTATATACACAATAGCATGGGAGTAGGGCCCTTTTTAGATAGGGGCAGTCACAGTAAGGTCTCTGAGAGGGCAAAAACCTCAGTGCATTTTAGAAGGCCACAGCTGGCCTCTGCTGGCTGCCAAGGCCATAAATGTGTGGCACTTACTGTACTTGACAGCTAAATGTGTGCCATCAGGACCCACGAATTAGAGACAATGCTGTGGAAACCCTGAGGGGACCAATAGTTGGTGATTCTCTGAACAGGAACAGAGAAACACAGCACAGTTAATTTATTAAATGAAGAGATTTTTCCTCGGTCACTTAACATTTATCAGCACTGTGTTTTATTCGTTTTTCTTTAATGCAAAGATGGCCTGAAGAATACTTAAAAGTAATATGTACAAGATCATTGTCCTTTGCCATTCCATAAAAAATTGTTTTCACAACTGTGAAAACATGTAAGGAATGTATCCATAATGGAATTCCTGTTTCTGTTATTTCTTTATAATTGTTAACGGCAACATGATTTTGGTAAGAGAATTAAACTTTACAAAAATTAGTTTTATTTTCAAAATTTCTACATAAGGCATTTATATTAGAGGGAAGGGAGGACATGGTTATCAAGTAACATGACTTCTGTCAATAGAATTTTCCAGTTTACATTCTCATTCTTTCATTTTTATTCATTGAACCTTCTTATTGTTTTTTAAAGCCTACCAGTGGATCATGTTGCTTAAATAAAAATACCTGAAAGATATATGCACACAAAGCAGACTCAGATTTACAGCAGAAATAATGGACTTGAGTCTTGTTCGAGAAAATATAATTCACCCATCCATCCAGCCATCCATTCAATATTTATTGAGTCTGTGAAACTGATAGGTAAAATATGCTGGAGTTAAGAGCGTGTATTAGTGTATTATGATCGTGTTGGGTGCACACAGTTCATGATTCAATCTTTCTCTGCATAGTTACTGTAGCAATTCTCTGAAAGGCATGTAAGTAGCCAAAATGTGGCTAGAGAAGCTAAAATAAAGAGCAATTTGAAATTATCCACTGTGTTAAAAATGGACTAACAGAATGAATTCTGGAAAAATACATGGGGTGGTTTACCTAGGCAACCACAAAGAAAAGAAAAGAGAAACTATTATATCACCAAGGAAGTTCAGTAAGCCATCTGATTACAATATGAGAAATCACTAGTTTCTCTGTATACCAGTTTAAAAACATGATGATTAAAATGCACCTTGTTCAAAACAGCAAGAAAAATAGAACATATCTAAGTATAAACTTACCAAGAAATATACAGGACCTGAATTTAAGCAAAAAAATTTTAATGAGGAACATAAACACTTGAACAAAAGTAGACAAAATTGTTACTTTTTTTTAATACAGTTTTCTTGAAGTTTAATAATTTTTCGAAGTAATTCAAGAAGGTCAAGAGAATGTATTTCTTTTTTCAAAAAAGAGATAGTTTGGTTTAAATCACTGTACTTGGTTTCTAAGTGGGTTTTTAAAAATAATTTACATAGATTTCTTTTTTTTCTTGCTTTATGAGAAATACTGATCAGCATATTGCTTCTTTGAAAAGGGGGCTCAAATCACCCAATTCTTTGTGAGAAATAAATTAAAATTATTTAATTATTGACTTCACTTTATTCATAATCAATACTCTATTCATAAATACTCTTTTTTTTTTTTTTTTTTTTTTGGCGGTACTTGGGCCTCTCACTGTTGTGGCCTCTCCCGTTGTGGAGCACAGGCTCCGGACGCGCAGGCTCAGTAGTTGTGGCACACGGGCCCAGCCCTTCCACGGCATGTGGGATCTTCCCAGACCGGGGCACGAACCCGTGTCCCCTGCATCGGCAGGTGGACTCTCAACCACTGCGCCCCCAGGGAAGCCCCATAAATACTTTTTATTCATAAATATTCATGAAAAAGTAAAAGCATATTGAATAATTTAAATACATATAACAAATTATTTTTAAATTTTTATTTTATATTGGAGTAGAGTTGATTAACAATGTTGTGTTAGTTTCAGGTGTACAGCAAAGTGATTCAGTTGTACATATACATGTATCTATTCTTTTTCAAATTTTTTTCCCATTTAGGTTATTACAGAAGACTGAGCAGAGTTCCCTATGCTATACAGTAGGCCCTTGTTGGTCATCTATTTTAAATATAGCAGTGTGTATATGTCAATCCCAACCTCCCAGTTTATCCCTCCTCTGCCCCCCCCAGCCACCTTTTCCCTTTGGTAACCATAAGTTTGTTTTCTAAGTCTGAGAGTCTATTTCTGTTTTGTAGGTAAGTTCATTTGTATCTTTTTTTTTTTAGATTCCACATATAAGTGATATCATATGATATTTATCTTTCTCTGTCTCAGTTACTTCACTTAGTATGATAATCTCCAGGTCCAACCATGTTACTGGAAATGCATTATTTCATTCTTTTAATGGCTGAGTAATATTCTGTTCTATATATGTACCACATCTTCTTTATCCGTTCATCTGCTGATGGACATTTAGGTTACTTCTATGTTTTGGCTGTCATAGACAGCGCTGCAATGAACATTGGAGTGCATGTATCCTTTCAAACCATGTTTCTCTCTGGATATATGCCCAGGAGGGGGATTGCTGGGTCATATGGTAGTTCTATTTTTAGTTTTTCAAGGAACGTCCATACTGTTCTCCATAGTGGATGTACCGATTTACATTCCCACCAACAGTGAACCTCACTTTTCCCCACAACTTCTCCAGCATTTATTGTTTGTAGACTTTTTGATGATGTCCATTCTCACCAATGTGAGGTGATCTCTCATTATACTTTTGATTTTCATTTCTCTAATAATTAGTGATGTTGAGCATCTTTTCATGTGCCTTTTGTTCATCTGTATGTCTTCTTTGGAGAAATGTCTATTCAGAGCTTCTGCCTATTTTTTGATTGGGTTGTTTGTTTTTTTGATATTGAGCTGCATGAGCTGTT